GCTGCCAGCGCTCCAGCATCAAGCTCTCCGTTTGTTGATTTGACTCGGAATGAAAATTGCTAAGGGACGTCGCACAAACAGTATTCTTGTATCCAAAACAGATCTGGCTTATTTGTGGAAGTGAATGCAAAGGGCGCAGATAACAGCTGCCCAAATGGGAAGAGGGCTGTAAAATATCAGCCAGACATTCATCCAGACCCATGCTCCTCCGAATCTAGAGTCCAGATCACACATGTTGTCCACTTGCAATCCATTTTTATTGGATTACAACAAATATCAGGCCACGATTTTGATAATGTGTTCTATCCTCACACTTCTCTTGGTGACGTGAACGAGTAAAGCTGTATTTGTAAGGTTCCCATGTGAGATATGCCGAGCGGATAAAATAAAAGGTCTCTGAATAGCGCCATAAAAAGCAGTAATCCATTTAAAACACTAGTAGGGCGAGGATCGGATGAGAAAGCTCAGCCAGTTCCCGGTCTCTGCATAAACAACAGATTTGCAGCAAAATGGGAAAATTCCAGTGAAATCATCATCATCAATGTTTTTTTTAAGCAGTGTTTGCATGTTTCTGCATTATTTCCCTAATGTATTAAAAAGGAGATTCCTGTCCAACCTGGGGCCACTCAGTTAAAGAAAGTGCATCCATTACATTGCCAGACAGTATATGTACGCAGAGTCCCGGATATATCTATCTGTCTGAGATAATCCGCCCAGTAAATCACAGCTGGATTTAGCTTCTTCACGTGTTATTCCGCTGATGATGTTTAATATCAGCCTGTAATGGAACAATCCCGGGGCAGAAAGACTATGTATCGACTCACACTGTAAGTCCTTATATAATCCGCCCCACTAAACAACGCGTATTACTTGGACCGAGATCTAGACGGTTAAACATTCCATTAGATAGGTACGATGTTCTAGCACACTGCAAATTGCACATCACATCGGAGAGAAAAGAGACCCATTAATAATTGCTGAGCTTCACACAGCGCCACATACACTGTTGTAACCAGCCCTATAATGACTTGGGGTGCAGCAGTGTACCCCATACTGTAGGTCAGGGGTGATCAAAAGGTAGATCCCCAGATGTTGTAGAACCCATGAAGCTTTGCATGCCTTTAGAATGCTTAGAATGACAAAGCATCATGGAATCTGTAGTTCTAAAACATCTGGGGATTGACCTTTTGGGCACCCCTGCTGTAGGTTTATTGGGGTTCCTCTTTGTAGACAGTAACTGCTCTCACTATCAACCAAGCTCAGCCTTCTACCACTAACAATGCTGTTAACTTACTTCCTCTAATTCTTCCTCGGACCCTGAAACGCTGCGCCCACCAACCGCTCCATGCTAAATGTATCTCAACAGAGTCATTTAAATGGTATTATTTCGCTGTGGCAATTTAATTACCCTCTGCCCACATAAATACGGCCTTCTTACAACTTCATCCCAGTTATCCAACGACAATGCTGAAAACACACCTCTTGGTGACAACAAATCCATCTTATATCACATGAAAGGGGTTTATTCTGTGAATCCAGAACAGGGGAGGAATGAATAAGGATTCACAAACATTAGACCAAATAACCTAATGATAAAAAAAATTCTGGCTGGCTCCTGTGTGCCGTCACGCAATGTACGATTTAGTGGATAAACCCCAAAGCCCTCTGTAGCCAGGCCTCGCTTCTATCGAGTAAAGAATTTTCCTTCCACAAAGAGCCTTGTCCTACAATAATAAACAGATATTACAGGCAGATGTTTTTTTTTCCTTTTATTCTTTTTTACGACCGGGAAGCATTTGTTAATATCTTGTTGCTTGGTCACATCTGGATCTGATCTGTCAGTTTCTACGTACACTGGCTCGTGTCCAACCGCGTTCCCAAAGTGACATTGTCTTCAGCTTGATAAAGTTCCCGGCATTCCATCTGCTGCGGTTCTATATATTAAGCATAAACGCAGAAAGCTATGATCAACTTCAAAGAAATAGAATCAGCTCCGGCAAGCCCCGGTCACGCCACTTGCAGATCTATAGTTCGGTTTTTCCTGTTAGGATTTCTTTTTGAAAGACTTTGCAAAGTTAGTTTTGTGATTAGTGATTAGTTGACTTTCTTTTTTCCTGCTTTTAAGTCTCCTACATTAATGGCAGGTGCTGGACTTGTTTAGTATTTAATAATACAGTATACATACAGGCTAACCATGGCGGAGATATTTTCATGTTATCAGAGAAATCCAGCTTAAGTCATCCACGGTGAAAGTCTGTTACATAGAACTGGGGAGGAGATTTGATAGAGCAGTCGTACAACATTCTAAATCGACGGACTCACCATGGAAACTAATGGAACATTCTAGCAGGCTCTATGTTTCTAACGCTGCCCAGTTTGCTGATATCGCCATTTTGTTCAATCTTCGAATGATGTTAGGCACAGCCTGTATCCAGGTGGCCATGTTGTACTCACTATCAATACACACACATCTAATTCTCAGCCGGCGCTCAGCGCTGGCGCACGCTTTCACAGCAGGCAGTTTGTTCTGGAATGAACAATACAGAGTCCAGGGATTTAGCGGCTGAACTAGGCACTGATAAAGTATATTATTTAGCGATTTGTGCCGTCTCTGCCAATATCCTTGTTATATTCCTTATCCCTATAAAACCAGGAGCTTAGACATTATTAACTAGAACTTCGGTTCTGTTTCAAAAACGCCCCATCAGTTCTTTGTAGATTTCAATGTAATTCCTTTAGAGGTCGTCTATTTTTATTATTATTTATTATTATTGTCCAATCTTTAACTCATTTATTGTGACATGAACCCGTCAGTGACACATACCTGACATGACACACACCTACCAGGGCCCCCGTTATCTTTCTAACGTTCTCTCCTCTATCATCGCTCTCCTGCTACTCCTCGTAATGTTCTCTTTATGACAGCTAACCGGGCCAGAACTAGGAGCTAGCAATCCCCTGACATTTACCGGTCACATAACCTGGAACCCACCTGAACCTGTGAACCTCTACCTGGAGACATTGAATCTAATCAGAGTTTATATTAAAGCCAGATCAAGCCATGTCACACGGAGATCAGGGGGTCTTTATTCCTTTCCATGCGCATTATGTAATAAGAGAAGAGGATGAAGTCCCCCCTGGAATGTCTCCAAATTAGCAGCCGGTCACCGGCTGTTACTTAATGTCTTACGTTTAATGATGACACCATGCAGAGCTCGTTTATGGAGCTTAAATTAACCAAACCAGGGAAAGGTCAAAGGTCGTGGGGGGGGATACCCCAGGCAGTACACGTTTATCTTTACTACCAAGTCGATATAAGTGACGTAAACCTAATACAATGAGTGACCTCATCTAATAAACTGTGAATTCAGTGCGAATCGTGGCCCTCACTCACATCAGATCAGTGAATTGTATAATAATAAAGTAAGTGCTTGGATAAAATACCCAGTATCTCCGCTTTGTCACCGTTATTGCTGCTGCTGATCCAAAAGAAGGTGAAAAAGTCCTTTTCAAGAGATGTCACATCATGGCCAGAACCTGGGAACAAATATTTCGCAATTCCAAGGTGGCCATTTACATTTCTTCTCGAATCAATTTATTTGCTGAGTATTCATTTTTACAATCCTGAATATTCTGCTTTGTCAGAAGAATTTTTTTTTTCTCTATTCTTTATAAATTGATTTTTTTTTAAAAGATATAAATAAATGAATTAATTAAAGAACACACATAAGTGATCAAAATGCAATTTTAAAGAAATCAACTAAAATTCATAACGTACCTTTTCAGTGGAACATAAATTAAAATACCAGTAAGGGCAAGCGGTTTGCTGGACATAATCAGGAATAGAAATCATAACCAAAGTATATCTTTAATAAATTGTAAAACGCAATCCGATAACTTGGAGATTATAACACAGAGGAGAAAATTTGAGGTTCCACGTAAACGTCCATTTATTGAGGGAGGTTTTCAGGCTCGGTTTTTTGGGTCGCTGATGGAAATACGGACAGATCCCACCTTTGGCGAGGATATTAGCAGTAGCAGAGAATTCGTTCCTTTAAAGTGTTTGGGTCTGATCCATTGCAGAACACTGAGCCATTAGAACCAAACTCCCACCTATCTGTCCACCCACTGCGGCTGTATAAAAGGACTGGAGAGATAAATGGGGCAAGCACATGGATTTGTCGTTACTCGGTATATTGGGTTCAGTACATGTAGTAAGTGTCAGAGATAGTCAATGCAGGATTATTCGCTGAATCGGCTCCCAAATGACAAAACTTCTGAGAAAACACCCGATTAGGACCCCAAACTGCATCGGCTAATTAGGTTATAGAATTAAATTAGCTAATTAATTGTCTGCAGCAAAACATGTGAAAAAGTTTAAATTCCAGACAATGCCAGAAATATTTACTAAAGAACAAACTGCTGCAATGTTAAAGTGAATTCCAAATGTTATAATAAAATAGTCATACTGGAAACCGGTGAATCGGACACGCCGATCAATTGAGCTCTTTTGGTGGAAGAAACCTTTAAACAATTCATTTGAATTCACTGTGATTTTTCATCAATTCCAATCTGAATAAACCCTGTGAATGGTCACTGCCCCAGACAGACGGATTCTCAGACACTGGTTTCCCCGCTCTCACTGATTATTATTATTTTTATAGCGCCATCAGATTCCGTAGCACTGTACAATGTGCATTGCTTGTCCCACACACAGATTGTGCACTTTAGAGGGGTCTCTGCTATGTAGAATGCGTTTCCCATTTGCTGTTACAATGTCAATGTGTTCAATGTTCCAGGAATCCTGATTTTCCTAAGATAGGAGCCAAGACACACACAACAGCTGTGGGCTCAGTGTTTACAAGTAACAAAACGTCCGTCCACTACCATTTTCCATGTAGTTGGACCATGTTTTAATACAGAGCACATGGCCACCAAGTTCCCTTCTCACATGAGTTTAACCCCTTAAAGGGACATTGTAGACACTATAACCATGTCATCTCATTGAAGTGGTTATAGTGCCTGGAGCCCCCTGGCACTTCCTCCATTCAGTGTTAAACCATTTCATCTCATTGAAGTATTTATAGAGTCTGGAGTCCCCTTCGGCTGTCCCTCCATGCAGTGTTAAACCATTCCATCTCATTGAAGTGGTTATAGTACTTGGAGTCCCTGGTCTCCATTCAGTGTTAAACCATTTTATCTCATTGAAGTGGTTATAGTACTTGGAGTCCCCTGGCGCTGTCCCTCCATTCAGTGTTAAACCATTCCATCTCATTGAAGTGGTTATAGTGCCTGGAGTCCCCTGGCGCTGTACCTCCATGCAGTGTTAATCCATTCCGTCTCATTGAAGTGGTTATAGTGCCTGGAGTCCTCTGGCGCTGTCCCTCCATGCAGTGTTAAACCATTCCATCTCATTGAAGTGGTTATAGTGCTTGGAGTCCCCTGGCACTGTTCCTTCATTCAGTGTTAAGCCATTCCATCTCATTGAAGTGGTTAAACTGTCTGGAGACCCCTGGCGCTGTCCCTCCAGTTAGCGTTAAACCATTCCATCTCATTGAAGTGGTTATAGTGCCTGGAGTCCCCTGGCGCTGTACCTCCATTCAGTGTTAAACCACTCCATCTCATTGAAGTGGTTATAGTGCCTGGAGTCCCCTGGTGCTGTCCCTCCATTCAATGTTAACCCATTCCATCTCATTGAAGTGGTTATAGTACTTGGATTCCCCTGGCCCTGGCCCTCCATTCAGTGTTAAACCACTCAATCTCATTGAAGTGGTTATAGTGCCTGGAGTCCCCTGGCGCTGTACCTCAATGCTGTGTTAAACCATTCAATCTCATTGAAGTGGTTATAGTACTTGGAGTCCCTTGGCACTGTCCCTTCATGCAGTGTTAACCCATTTGATCTCATTGAAGTGGTTATAGTACTTGGAGTCCCCTGGCGCTGTCCATCCATGCAGTGTTAAACCATTCAATCTCATTGAAGTGGTTATAGTACTTGGAGTCCCCTGGCGCTGTCCCTCCATGCAGTTTTAACCCATTTTATCTCATTGAAGTGGTTATAGTACTTGGAGTCCCCTGGCGCTATCCCTCCATGCAGTGTTAAACCATTCCATCTCATTGACGTGGTTATAGTACTTGGAGTCCCCTGGCGCTGTCCCTCCATTCAGTGTTAAACCATTCCATCTCATTGAAGTGGTTATAGTACTTGGAGTCCCCTGGCGCTGTCCCTCCATGCAGTGTTAACCCATTTTATCTCATTGAAGTGGTTATAGTACTTGGATTCCCATGGCGCTGTTCCTTCATGCAGTGTTAACCTATTTTTGAGCAGTTTAACATTGAACGAGCGTTTGCTGTAAAAAGAAACAAGGACTGGCTTATAACTGAATGTCAGCCCAGATCGAAAACAGAACTTGTTTTGGACTTTATTTTGATCGACACTGGAAAGGACTAGGGTCGGCACCTTACTTGGAGAAACATACCGGCCCATTTTTCATAATTAACTATGTATTCATGACATCACATTACTACATAACAGGTAGTGACATAAGGATGGGGAAATATTCCCATACCACTATAAAACTACTTACAATGTGTGTTCTGTGTCTGACTGTGTAGCTGTGTGTGTACTGTTTCTGTGTGTGTATAGCAGTGTGTTTTATTGACTGTGCGTGTAGCTGTGTGTGTACTGTTTCTGTGTGTGTATAGCAGTGTGTGTTATTGACTTTGCTTGTAGCTGTGTGTGTACTGTTTCTGTGTGGGTGTGTTATTGACTTTGTGTGTAGCTGTGTGTGTACTGTTTCTGTGTGTGTATAGCAGTGTGTTTTATTGACTGTGCGTTTAGCTGTTTGTGTACTGTTTCTGTGTGTATATAGCAGTGTGTTTTATTGACTGTGCGTTTAGCTGTGTCTGTACTGTTTCTGGGTGTGTATAGCAGTGTGTGTTATTGAGAGTGCATTTACCTGTGTGTACTGTTTCTGTGTGTGTTTGTGTAGCAGTGTGTTATTGACTTTGCGTGTAGCTGTGTGTGTACTATGTCTGTGTTTGTGTAGCATTGTGTATCATTGACTGTGTGTGTACTGTTTCTGTGTGTGTATAGTAGTGTGTGTTATTGACTGTGCGCTTAGCTGTGTGTGTACTGTTTGTGTTTTTATAGCAGTGTGTGTTATTGACTTTGCGTGTAGCTGTTTGTGTACTGTTTCTGGGTGTGTGTGTGTGTGTCTGTGCTTCAGTGTGTATCATTCACTGTGTGTAGCAGTGTGTGTCATTGTGTATACTGTGTGTGTTTGTGTCAGTCTGTGTATTAATATGTATTTAATATTGATGTTAGTTATCCAGATTCAATATTTCACGTGTTAAATAGTTTGTGGTTTTGTTCAATGTGAGCACTTGCCGTCAGTGAGACACGCTTGCATTCTCCGAAATCTTGGCCTTAAAGGACCTGTTAGTGTGCACGCTTTTAACAGATTGTCACAGAAACGCTCCAGCCGCTTTTCAGGATAAATGATATTCGGAGGGATTTCTTTACAGCCGACTTGGTGATGCCAGGGCGGTGTTCGCCCATAGGTTGGCAATCCCAGGGCTGCAGTGTTTAAACCGTCTATTACACAATCAGTGTTATTAAACGTGTCCATCTGTGAAATCCTAAATCATTACATCACAATGCTTTCCTACACAAAACGGCTTCATTCCCAGATAACTTCATCTTCACAGACACCGATCGGGACAAAAGACAAGAAATGGAATAATTCCTGTTCACAAACTGCTAGTGACAGAATTCTGGACGAGGAGAACAGTGCAGCGCAGCGATCCCCAGCCATAGCTCGCTGTGTTTACATTCGTACATTATGCGCTTTGCAGAACAAACACGACTTGGAAGCCGCCCAATAATGGACACAAACAGTCCAAGTTTACGTTAACCCTTGTTACTCCCTCAGAGAGGCCTGGGGGGAGAATCCTGACAGAGCAGAGGATGGATTGACCCCCTCCCGGCCATGGAAAGCTCGGTGTGTTTGGTTTAAGTGGAAAATTCCAGGAGGGAATTGGCCTCCCCCCCACCCCAGGCAGTTACTGGGAGTCAGCAGAGTCTGTTACTTAAAAACATCACGGTGGCCCGCACGTACAAATGGACGCCAACAGATTAAATAACTAATGGCTAATGGATTATATCAGCTCCCAGCTATCCTGAAATTTATTGCATAGACACATTCAGTAAAAGATGGTGAGATAAACAAACGACAGATAGATAGAGATAGATAAATAGTGGATAGATAGATAATAGATAGATAATGGATAGATAGATAGATAGATAGATAATGGATAGATAGATAATGGATAGATAGATAATGGATAGATAATGGATAGATAGATAATGGATAGATAGATAGATAATGGATAGATAGATAGATAGATAGATAGATAGATAGATAATGGATAGATAGATAATGGATAGATAGATAGATAGATAGATAGATAGATAGATAGATAGATAGATAGATAGATAGATGGATAGATGGATAGATAATGGATAGATAGATAGATAGATAGATAGATAGATAGATAATAGATAGATAATGGATAGATAGATAATGGATAGATAGATAAATAGATAGATAATGGATAGATAGATAGATAATGGATAGATAGATAATGGATAGATAGATAGATAGATAGATAGATAGATAGATAATGGAAAGATAGATAGAGAGATAGATAATGGAAAGATAGATAGAGAGATAGATAATGGATAGATAGATAGACAGATTGATGATAGATAGATAGATAATGGAAAGATAGATAATGGATAGACAGATAGATAATGGATAGATAGATAGATAGATAATAGATAGCTAGATAATGGATAGATAGATAATGGATAGATAATAGATAGATAACGGATAGATAAATAGACAGATAGATAGATAATGGATAGATAGATAGACAGATAGATAATGGATAAATAGATAGATAACGGATAGATAGATAGATGGAGAGATAGATAGATAATGGATAGAGAGAGAGAGAGCTAGATGGAGAGATAATGGATAAATAGAGAGATAGATAGATAGATAGATAGATAACGGATAGATAGATGGAGAGATAGATAGATAGATAATGGATAGATAGAGAGAGCTAGAGAGAGAGAGAGAGAGCTAGATAGAGAGATAATGGATAGATAGATTACCACGCAGAGGGCAAAAGGCAGCCACAAGGGGCCATCAGAAATGACACAAGGGCCAAGATGTGAGCAAACAGCAGTCACACTCTGACAGTGGAGACTGTTATTTGTTTGTGGGTGATTTATAACCTTAAAAGGTTACACCAATCACCATAGCAATTCTGTTTTTAGCAGTGATTATGGTGGGTTCCAGCTTGCCACACTGCACATAGTGAGATTGTTTGCCGGGGGCTTTTTGCACCCACAGCACACGTGACATCGGGAGCCTGGAACTCCGGCCCGGCTAATGCCGATTCTGTGCATAAAATACGTCCGTCGTCAGCACGCTGAGCAGTGGGCACCTCGTGTCATTGGTGACACCCTATAATAACTAACCTGGCCCACCCAAGCCCAGGATGAGAGACAGCCAGTCTATCCGGCCCCCAACACACAGGATAAGGCAGAGAGAGCTGCTAAAATGCTCACTGCAGGGTCCTAGCACATGTGCTATGCCACCCAAGGATAACTCCCTGGTGCCCATATTGGCACTGTTGACAAGCCTGTAGCTATGGTATCAATTGGATCAATTACTGTGGGTGGGATCTACCTGCTGTGGGAGGGATCTACCTGCTGTGAGTGGGATCTACCTGCTGTGGGTGAGATCTACCTGCCGTGAGTGGGATCTACCTGCTGTGGGAGGGATCTACCTGCTCTGAGTAGGATCTACCTGCTGTGGGAGGGATCTACCTGGTGTGGGAGGGACCTACCTGCTGTGAGTGGGATCTACCTGCTGTGGGAGGGATCTACCTGCTGTGAGTGGGATCTACCTGCTGTGGGAGGGATCTACCTGGTGTGGGAGGGATCTACCTGCTGTGAGTGGGATCTACCTGGTGTGAGTGGGATCTACCTGGTGTGGGAGGGATCTACCTGCTGTGAGTGGGATCTACCTGCTGTGGGAGGGATCTACCTGCTGTGAGTAGGATCTACCTGGTGTGGGAGGGATCTACCTGGTGTGGGAGGGATCTACCTGCTGTGAGTGGGATCTGCCTGCTGTGGGAGGGATCTACCTGCTGTGAGTGGGATCTACCTGCTGTGGGAGGGATCTACCTGGTGTGGGAGGGATCTACCTGCTGTGAGTGGGATCTACCTGGTGTGGGAGGGATCTACCTGCTGTGAGTGGGATCTGCCTGCTGTGGGAGGGATCTACCTGCTGTGAGTGGGATCTACCTGGTGTGGGAGGGATCTACCTGGTGTGGGAGGGATCTACCTGCTGTGAGTGGGATCTACCTGCTGTGAGTGGGATCTACCTGGTGTGGGAGGGATCTACCTGCTGTGAGTGGGATCTACCTGCTGTGGGAGGGATCTACCTGCTGTGAGTAGGATCTACCTGCTGTGGGAGGGATCTACCTGGTGTGGGAGGGATCTACCTGCTGTGAGTGGGATCTGCCTGCTGTGGGAGGGATCTACCTGCTGTGGGAGGGATCTACCTGCTGTGAGTGGGATCTACCTGGTGTGGGAGGGATCTACCTGCTGTGGGAGGGATCTACCTGCTATGAGTGGGATCTAACTGGTGTGGGAGGGATCTACCTGGTGTGGGAAGGATCTACCTGCTGTGGGAGGGATCTATCTGCTGTGAGTGGGATCTACCTGCTGTGGGTGGTATCTACCTGCTGGTACAAACACTAAGCAGTTTACAGAGGGGAGTTTTCAGTAACTTGCTTTATCGTTTTGTAGAGCAGTATATTTACTATGAAGGGTTTACCCCATAGCTTCCCTTTAATAATAATAATGCCAGTGGTTTCATGGTGTGAAGGGATTATGGATGGAGACAATGGCCACTAAGTAATATTCGGAAAGTAATAAGGCACATTTACAAAAATCACAATCCAACTATCAGTACTCCATAACAACAGAGTCAGTGAAGCAGGTCCTGACTGAGAGTGAAAAGCAGAGTGTTATAGCAAATTGTGAGAGCTTGGCCTATACGCTTACAATCTATCCTGCTCTAATAGTCCCCACGTTGAGTCCGGTCACCATCATTCATGGTGTTCTGCTGGTGAGTAAGGTGCAATTATCACACCAATACAACATCAAAATGAAACAGAAAACAGCCACATAGTGATGTAGGAATATGATAGGAGTGAAGCAGTTCATGATGACAGAGGGTGTTCACAATCCTCCCATAAACACTGCCTGCTTTAATGTGCAGGGAATATGGGAATATACTTTGTTTTCTTTATATAAACATTGTTAAATAACTACATATACGCAATGTAGTTAGAATAACAAAATATGGATCACTGACAGGGTTATTTACTGAGAAGTCAAAGTGAATTTCAAAGGTAAGGCAAAAGTAGCCGAACTGGAGACAGAGGTGAGAGAATTTCTCCAGTTTGGCTATTTTGGGCTTTCATTTGGAAATCACTATGAATTTTCGCTTTAGTGAATCTTTCAGTTAGAATTTAAAGTGATTTACAAAACCAGGCCTAAAAAAGCTGAAATGAGAGCGGGATTCAGCTCAGCTATTGTAGCATATAGTGAGAAATTCTGTGTAAACTGGATAGCTTAATAGCAGATTTACGCTAATTTCTTGTGATCTTATCCTCACAGCTACGGCTCAGGTGTCCCCGATATACACCCCCAGATTTTTGACATCAGTTTTGCTCTGATAATAGGTTTTTTAGGTAAGAATTTTCCGGTAAGTAAAATGCCTCCTTGAGATAGCACTGGGAATAACGCACGTTGCATAAAGGCAGGGCAGTACAGGAAAGGTGTAATATACAAAGAATCACATCATTATGGACTAGAGAATGTTAGACAAATACAGATTCATTGCTTTTAACCCCTTAAGGACCAAACTTCTGGAATAAAAGGGAATCATGACATGTCACGTGTCCTTAAGCGGTTAAAGAGATTTATTCCACTATAGCCCCAACTTTATAGATTTATTTCTCTAATCACACGCACAATGGGTTTTGGTTGACTTTTTATTCAAAATAAACATTTATACTTTTACCTCTCAAACATTAGAAACATATCCAGTCAGATAACACAAAATAAATTCTGGTGGGATCCTGGTAAATCCATTGCGCATGACGAGCGGTTTATTTAAAGACAGCGTACGTCATGCCGTGCACAGTGTTCAAACCCCGTGGTATCAGTCTTTCCTTCACACTTTTAAAGAAAAAGAAACGTCAACGGCGAAAGTTTTCACTAATGCAGGAAATTCAAACTCTGGGCCAAAGTAGCCAAACTATGGTATTTTGGTGTAAACGCTGTGCCTCCTTTGGTAGTCACATGCTGGTAACAATCCAATTATAAGGAGAACTACTAATGCTATTAGCATTGTTGACCTTTTCCACACTTGCACGCTCAGGCTTTATACTACATGTCCACATGTAGATCCCAGAGCTTTTATCATATTAACGAACAGTGCTATGGGTTTACGACGCAATGCAAAATAGGAGAGATTGGGGGAAAATAGATAATCTGTCTGTGTTAATGATTGAACAAAACGTCTCTGCTTGAACTTAGGTTTGCACGGCCGTAGTCAACTGATCAGAATTCATTATTTAATGAATAAACCTCTAAACTTTGCACATTTGCGAAATGAGCTACATCTAAGCAGGGTTATGTATTTCTTCTCTAGAAAATCCGGTAATAATTGTATCTCAAACAATCACCAAAGAAAACCTAACTCTCCAGCTATTGACTTCGATAAACACCTATCCCACGTACGGATATCAGAGCTATGTTTGACGATTAATTTGCCATCAATGTGGAGATACTCTAGAAATGTAACTCACTACAAGTCCCCTCCACCCCGTCCCCCATGCAATAATTCCATCTCTGATTAAACCGGTATCTTCTGGTGGTTACAGCAAATGTACATCAAACAGGTTTGGCACAGGAAGGCACACTCACACTAAATGCTAGAAGCTTTGCATGTTGCGACGTAACGGCCTTTAACATACAAACATCTATTTTACCATATTTATACCTGTAAAAATAAAATGCTTACTGCCTAAGCAATACGATTCGTACATCATACAACACGTTAAATTAAAATTTGCCCTTCCACAAACATTGACAAATGACAACAGCGTCGAACTAGTGGGTTAGCAGCCAAAGCTCCCGCTCTATTTTAAACCCATATAAAATGGTGTTGCAGTAAATACCTCCAGCTACACCCCATTCCAATCACTTTCTGTTAAATTTAGCACAAAGTCAATCATTCTTGTTGGAGAAGATTCTCATCTAGAAAGTGCAGATTCCTTTCCAAGCACCAAACACAGCCAGTACCGATTTAGAAATGTGTTTTTCTGGTTGTGGGAGTTTAATATGTTTTGTTGGGTCAAGAGTTTAGCTAGGATAGATAAGGAGCCTTTTGTTTTCATGTCCTAACTCTCGGTGACTAAATCCAATGTTACAAAGTTCCCCTACCCCAATCACCATGTGCAAGGGGCACGCAGTCTCCAGCATCTGCGGTGGTGTTTAAAACCTATATTGAAAGGATACAGGATATTCTGTGCCTCGTGCTTTCCATCTAATGTGTAATTAGCAGACAGCCATTGTCAGGGACCAGCAGGAGAATATTAAACAATCTGTACTCAACAGACTGAACCAGCAATTATTTAACATTTAAAAAAAAAAAAAATCCCCATCAAAATTTACTTTTGATGTTCTAATTGTATACACCGCTTTTTAAAGCTGTGAGGTTCACTAAACTTCAGTGTAAAAGATACTGAGGTTTCTTCTCTCCCACTAAAGGGATCCAGACATTACAGCTCCGGAATCCACAGCATGTTAAACTGCAATATATCAAGACAGTTCCACTGTAAGATTGGCTACTGCTTTGATCCCAGCTCGAATATAAAATGTTTTACCCATAGAGGATACATTTAGCATTTGCTATTTTTCATGTACATTCTGTATAATCTCACACAGAAGTGTGTTTTTTTTTGTTTTTTTTACAACAAAACTTAAATAGTTAAACAATATTTACACAAACAGTCCCTATAAACAGGTTACAAAATTACATATCCCTTTAAGGAATTTTATAACCCAGAAAAACAAAAAACATTTTCATAAAACCTCCTGTAGTTTCTATTAATACAAAGATATGGGCTAAGCAACTGTATACACACACAATCTTAACCAAAATGTCTGTTTTGTTGTTAAACAATGTCAGGTAGAAGTGAATCTTTTCAATCCAGCACCATAGCAGACAAGGCATTCAGATCTCTCATATAGGGATGTGCAGACAGTATCTGATTAATCTTCTGATGCTGCTGAGATTCAGGAAAAATCTTTAAAAGTGAATCTTTTAGTTGAGAGGTTTCGTGGACACTTCTCTGGGGGGGAGTGACAGGAGGCGGCCGTGATGGGTTTTGTAGTGCTGGACTGACAGCTGGGGTCTCTTCCCCTAAATGAAAGCGCTGGGGCTCACAGACATGTGATACTGTGGGTTTCGGCTGGGCACAGATGGCATTCGGAAGATTCACTCCTCTCTTGAATGGATTACCGCTAGGGACTGGTACACTGGAAAAGACATATAAACACATGTTGACTCAGTGGGCTATATCCAACATATTGCACATCTACAGATCAACTATAAGCCATGGAAGCCGAGCCAGGATGGGATCGATTCATTGTATACCAGGATTGTTAGTAGGCAATCAGAGCATACGCTCATGACAGGAGATTCAGCTGGTATACTGCAAATGAACACACCATCGGCCATCCGTCAATCTGCAACACATCCAATTCTTACCAAGTACACAAAACAGAAACTAGGTGCATCATATATGTACCTATCCCTCCATAGTCACCTACACACACAATAACGTTCTCAAAGTAGGAGAGGAATTTTTATAAGCATTAACAGGAGACATGAGTCTTGCTTTTAATTTGAAAACAGACCTTGAAAAGACGCTGCAAAGCAGTAATGAGGAGTGTGTATACACAAACACATAGCAGATTGGCAGCAGGACACATCCTTGTGAAAGAAATGCAATTTATTGATTGTGCTCTGATTCAGCTGGGTGAGGAAGGAACCAGCAAAATAAACCAATAGAAAACTCCCTCAAAGAATCCCAAGAGACATTGACAGAGGCTAGAAAAAGTTCTAGAGCCGTCAGGCGCACAGTACGAGTCCAGGTAAGATGGTATCAAGATCAGTTCATGCAAAACTATATGAAGGTGTATCAAATTAAGCCATCGGTAACACAACAGTAACTTCATTAATATTTATTTTACGACCCCCTCCCCCATCACAGTTGAGATCTTGCAGATCTAGCACGGTGAGAGTCCAGCAGAGATTTCATTCTTCAGGTCACAGGGTGAGTAGGTTAGACAGCTGTGCTTTCTAACGATTAAACCTTGGTCTCAGCCTGTAAGTGTAAGGTCAGATAATTCATAACCAGCACACACAGTACAGGCATTTTAACACAACATCTGTCAATCAGAACATACAGTGACTTTGGAAACTCATTTACAGCCAGGAGAAACAATGTGCTTCACCATCCACACAGGGTACATAAAGAACTGAGCAGGGCTGCGGGGCACCCCAAGTGTCAGACATGCTGCCTCACTTTCAGCTTCTCACTATTCATGTTTTTGCTCCGGATCTGCTCCCAGAAAACCTTTAGATAAGATTTATTGCCACTGACTCCTTACAGCGAACCTCACCACACAGAGCCACATCATTACCGATTATCAGGAAGGCTGCAAAGAAAGTCATCCAGTTTAGGCCCATATCGTCCCAAAGGATCATCTGGAACCATGAAGAGATCACCAACAAACGTGTACTGCAGTAATCTGGGGACAAGAAAACACCAGTTAGCACCATTATGTATAATAACTACCAACCTATAACAAAACGGTCGAGCCAGATGATACACACTCCTCAAAGCCTGGCCCAGGGTTACTCCATTGAAGTGCATACCGCTTGTATTTTACATGAAGGGGATGCCCCCTAGTGACCACAGTTTGCATAGCATTGCTTTTAACAATGCACAATGACTGCACACACATATAACACCAACAAACAAACTCAACAATTCTCAAATGGAAAGATATGGGAGGCTAAAGACTGCCTGACACCTCATTGTCTACCACAGGCAAAGGATCGCGTCAAGAGACTATAAAACATGGCGAATTCCCACTGAGGTGCAGTCAAGAGTCAGAAGATTGCTGTGATGATGACTCCGGAGCAATGCAGACGTACCGCTCTTTAATTATCTCTCTCCAGACAGGCGATTCAGCCACAAACTCCCGGAAGTTATCATTGGTCACAATGATGCCTCGTGTCCTCTCCGCAAGGTGCAACAAAAACCTGCAAGACACAGTAGCACATTATAACGAATTGTAAGGCTATGCTCCCAGGCAGTCAGTCAGACAAAACTGGCCAGTCACACACCTATCTTTCAAGCAAAAAAAAAAAAAAATAGATCTCTCGGAAAACACTTGTCATTTGGAAGACATTGTGGCTGTGTGGTGAAGAGCTAGCACTCATGTGATATTAAGGGTTTCCTGACCTGTCATCGTGTGAGGCTATCCGAGAGCCCAGGACGGTCCTGGATGGCGTGAATGATAGAATTCCCAGCTCCTGCAGCTGCTGCAGAAAGTGCTGCTCTATTTGAAGAAAATCAAATAATTAGAAGTGAAAATGGCACATATGATTGTATAGAATCCTTGAGCATCCAAGCCTGGCTTTCACTAGAACCAACTGACACCATCAATGGATTCATCTTTAACTTAGAACTTAGATGCAGGATTTAATGGTGGGCTGGTAACCCAATTCTAAATGTTAATATACAGCTTGTCACTAAAAATCTATTTTAAAGCAGATCTATGTATAATAGCAGCTTATGCAGTGTCTAAGTGACTTGCTCCCAGAGAGATGCAGAGACACCATGAATGTTTGCTGACCGTGGCTGGATCAGCTCACAAATTCGTACATGAAAATAAGAGGAGGGCCAAGAAGTGCCCCCAACAACAGTACAAGTGTGAAAAGACGGCACATAATGAGTGTTCACATCAAATAAACTGGACTACACTTTGCTCACAGATATCCTAAACAAAACGAACAGAAGATTTTATCTTCTATAAAAAGGGGATCAGGGTAATCTTATTTTTGGTTTTAATAAATTATGTTAAAAGCAAAGCTCGCAGGATACAGGACGCTCTATCCAGCTGAAGGTTACAAGGGGCATGCCACTCAGTATGGCCTAAAATACAGCTAACATAACTAGATAAAAAGTTATGGCGTCTAGTACCACCATGACGGAGCCCAGACTGGCTTTATACACAGCCCATTAATGAAAGCAGAGAATAAAGTCAAGTCCTGGACAGCTGCAATTAGCCAGTCATTACCAGTTATATTTGGATCACGCTTGGTTCGCCACTGGGGTACAAATACTGTAATGTTCCGATGGCCCTTCTTCCAAAAATACTCCACAGCAATTGCAATACCCCGGCAAGAAAAGAATCTTTTCAAACCATGACTACAAACAAAAAGGAATTAAAATGAATCAAAGCACAACAAGAAAGCATTACAATAAAACAAAACTGAACGAGAAATAAAAGAGGCATTAGTAATTCATTGCTCCTAGAAGTCACCCATCAGGCAGGCTGGCACCATGGGGACTCAAAGCAGCCAGGTAGGAATAAGTAGAGTGAGCCGATTTATTCCACTTACCAATGTTGCAACACTGTGGGGGAGAAAGGGAATAAGCTAGCCATTTACACTGCCCACTTCCAGAACTTTGCTCCCACTTTTCAGAAAATTATATATATATATATATATATATATAAATAAAATACATATATATTTATTATACATCCCCCCCCGAGCTGAATTGTGGAATATAGAGAGTGCAGAGCATGAATTATGGAATTACTGGGTTAATTACTGGGTTAATGTTATCTTCATAATACAAGAAAGCAAAGGTAAATATGTAACCCCACATTTAAAACCAAGACAGCAGGCGACATGCATAATACAATGCCCAAAATGAGAACAAGGGGGGAGAGTACCGCTCCATAAACACCCGTTACTAAACACATAGCACAGGAGGGAATCCAAACAGTCTGAATGATAAGGAGGCAAGTGACCCCAGGACAGATTGCGGGATAAACTGCAATAACTGGCAGAAGGTCTGGAATCCCATCGATACAGGATATCGTTATCATTTCACATCAGAACTCACACGGGAGTTATTTAAGGTCACTGTATTTGTCCCATTAACAATGAAATGTGTGGGTGGATATGTACATAGATAGCCTCCAAAAATAAAAACCAAGGTTTCAGTACATTTAGTTTGCTGCAGATGGCCAATAGAAAGGAGTTCTTGTACTGGATATTCCTGGTGAATGTAATTTCTTTATAAAAGAAAACTCCAAGCACTGGTGTCTGCCGGACTCCAGGTAAGAAATCACACTAGTCAAAAATGGTGTGACTCCGTACAATGGGTGTGCCAGTGCCCTGCTAGCAACCCCCCTCCCCCAGAGCCTGGCAGACACCACCACTGTATATGACCTAAAAACCATTGGAGGCTCTACCCATATATGGGGAGGAGGAGGGGCAGCAGACCTGGGGTGAATTGTTAACATAATAAACTGAAAGTCTCCCCACGCTGAAAAGGACTGAGTGCAATAGACATTTAGACGTGTAAGTTTACAAACCTCATGGCCACATTGCTTCCATCGATAATGATGTGTTTTAGATCTTTCCTTCCTGGCTCATTAATCAGTTCTAGTCGATATGGAACTTTAATGGCATTAAGAAATATCTGGACTCCGGTAACAGGTGGATCATTCGGATGTCTATAAGGTCTCTCGATAGGGGCAGCTGTCACTACCTTTGTAGTGGGCACAGGGTCATACGGAAGCTTATTGGTCGATTTGACAGGAGGCATATTGGATGTTCCTGCCCTGTCAGCAGTCTGTATACGTGGAGGACTAGATGTGCCCCTTGCAACAAAATCAAAAGTTTTCAGCGTTGTCCTTTCTACCTCCAACCGTGGCTTTCGAGAAGCAATTGCACAATACGGTGCATTATTTACCCTAGTATAAGGCTTTGAAATTATATTTCCATTTGAAAAGCTATTGCTCAATTCACCATCAATGGTGACCTCTTGGCTTGGGTGGGATTCTGCTATGGGGGTGCCAATAGCTGACACAGCCAAACATTCTTTAGATATTACTGGACACGAGTTGGATCTGTTTGCAGAATTTTTAGTCAAATCAGGCACTTTGTTTGTTTCCTTCTCTATTTCTTCTAGGAGTTTCAAAGGCTCCTCTGACTGTCCAAGATCCCCAATTACTTTTTTAACTACCTCCTCAGAATAACCCATGGTTTTAAAAAAGTTCACAAGGATTTTATATTCTGTTTCTGTGCTGACGTTGTCTTCACCATCCACAAGTATCACAGAGTCTTCCAAGTCAGAAGGTTCAGAAATCAAATCAATTACTGGAATAGGTTCAGTGGTTCTGACGACTGGTCCATCGACTTGTATAGCTTCCAACGAGAAGGGTTTCTTTGAACACCGCTCTTCGTTTTCAGAACAACGCCTTTTAACAGACAGACGTTCTTCAGGAGAAGATGTCCCATTTACGGTTCCTGGTTTAGTTTCCGAAACACTTGAAAAGACTGAATCCAGCTGACTAGTCAGCTCTGTGATGAGAGTCCCTGCTTGCTCTCTACATGTGTCCTGCTCACTTTCACACTTTGTTTTAGAAATTATCAGGTCACAGTTTAAAAGATGATCGTCCTTGCCACATGAGTCATCCATTGTCAGATGTAACAGTTCCTCCTTCAGTGCACTGGGCAGAAGTAACAGATCAACAGTGTATTTATCTGCATGGGCTTCAACAAAATCCTTAAACTTTCTCTTAACATCTGGCTCCTTGTCATGGTGCAAACTTTCATTATTCTTAAAAAGTCGGACAAACTGCTGTATGTGGCTCTGAGCCATCACCACTGGCTCCATGCCTCCTTTAATACTAAGGACACCGATCTCAAGTACAGAGATGCTGGCGTAAGTATCTTGAATGAGACGATTGAGAAACAAGCCCCGGGCACCGGCAAAAATGCAGTGCATTTCATTTGGATACCTTTCCTTCTCTTCCATTTCCGGTTCGCAAAGGCCTTTGACATATTCCTGGAAGAAAGAAAGATTGTCTTTTTTAGTACAGTACAAACTGAAATGACACAAAAATAAATTAGCCCCTACTACACACTGTTCTTTTCTCAGGATCCTACAGAGCACTGAACACCAGTAAGTCCAGTAGAGCAATACTTCAACACCATAAGGACAGCACAGTCCCCCGCAGTATATGGCTTAGTATGGACCAAACAATGTTTATTAGTGTACTCTTCAGCACTATACGCAGAGGATACTACTTGTCCAGCTCTGCTTCTAATATACACATTGCACATAATCCGAGGATAATTATAGGACACATGAGAGGGGAGCTCTGCTATAGTTGGGGGTACAGATAGAATGAATAGGGGAGCTCTGCTATAATTGGGGGTACAGATAGAATGAACATGGGAGCTCTGCTATAGCGGAGGGGGGGGAGGAGGTACAGAGAGAATGAATGAGGGAGCTCTGCTATAGCGGGGGGTACAGATAGAATGAATATGGGAGCTCTGCTATAGCGGGGGTACAGATAGAATGAATATGGAGCCTAGCATGGGAGAGTACAGATAGAATGAATGAGCTATATACAGAATATGGGAGCTCTGCTATAGCGGGGGGGTACAGATAGAATGAATATGGGAGCTCTGCTATAGCGGGGGGGTACAGATAGAATGAATATGGGAGCTCTGCTATAGCGGGGGGGTACAGATAGAATGAATATGGGAGCTCTGCTATAGCGGGGGGGTACAGATAGAATGAATATGGGAGCTCTGCTATAGTGGGGGGGTACAGATAGAATGAATATGGGAGCTCTGCTATAGCGGGGGGGTACAGATCGAATGAATATGGGAGCTCTGCTATAGCGGGGGGTACAGATAGAATGAATGGGGGAGCTCTGCTATAGTTGGGGGTACAGATAGAATGAATAGGGGAGCTCTGCTATAGTTGGGGTACAGATAGAATGAATAGGGGAGCTCTGCTATAGTTGGGGTACAGATAGAATGAATAGGGGAGCTCTGCTATAGTTGGGGTACAGATAGAATGAATAGGGGAGCTCTGCAATAGCGGGGGTACAGATAGAATGAATAGGGGAGCTCTGCTATAGCGGGGGGTACAGATAGAATGAATAGGGGAGCTCTGCAATAGCGGGGAGTACAGATAGAATAGGGGAGCTCTGCAATAGCAGGGGAAGGGGTACAGATGGGAGGAGTGTGGGGTTAGAAAACACTAACAAGCAGGATGTGTATCCAGTGGGATTCCCCCATTATTGAGATTTATCCTGGTTCCCCTCCAGTTCTGTGAATACTTCCTGTATCAGGTTAAATAGTGGCCAATTTCCTCCCAGTTGTCATGGGGCAGGGATTTTCAGTCTCAGATATAAAGGGTATAATTAACCCTTACCAAACATTCAACATCAGTGAAAACCTTAGGAGATACAGAAAATGGAAACAGACTGCATCTTGTTATTTATAATCCCATCACCATGTACAGTGGTACAGTAGTAATTGCAGGTGGGGAGGGACATTCCTCAATTTACACATTGCACCCAGCAATTGTGCAGTGGAACCCGCACTGGAGAAGAGAAGCCCACAGCAGCCTTTGCAGCTCCTGCCCTTGACCTGTACCTGGCCAGCCCGGCCCTCACTAGACCCCCAGGGAAGACACCCACACTGCTAGATATACACAGATACAAATACAACCACACACGCAGTCCCCACTCACAACACCAACCACACAATGTGACACATCATTGACACAAGCAGGCCCCATACACAGGTATCATACACAATACCACAAACTATTAATGAGCATATAAAATATAACAGCCCACATACTCACAAACACTACAAAGCAACTGCATCACCTATAAATAACACACGCACAATACGGCAACTTATACACCTCAATTTAAACAATTAGGAGAGGCATGCCAAGGGACTTCAAATACTTGTTGTGGAACAGTACTTCTAAAAGGTTGCCTACCCATGCTCTAGAACAATGAAAGCAGGGACTCCAGCCTTGGACAGCCCAATCCCACCTCGCTGGAATTACACAGACTGATTTCTGTGTGTACAGCTTGCTACCGTGTATGTATGTGAACAGACTAATGTACGTGTGGTTAATCTGGGTACCCCAGAATGATAAAATCTGTGTTACAGCCCAAGAATCAGAGTGTGACATGTAAATAGATATCGTGTGACGGACACCATAAATGTCACCCAATGTAGCAGCATTGCACCCATTATACCATACATTCATAGTGTACGAGATGACAGATCTCCTGTCTCCTGCAAGTTATGGTATTCTATGAGAATGTTCTAACCACATGACATACAAGTATAACTACACACATTAAGGTTATTTCAATCTACAAGGTGTATTTCATGTACGCCAGTCCCAAAGTGTGTCTGCCCAGTGAAGCAGAGAGATAGTAGAAAGGGATTTTATTTTGCTTTGGAGGTGATGACAAGAGGTGTGCCGGGCCCAGTGATTCCGTTCAGCCCAAGATCTGAGACAGACAGAACTCACTGTGTGATCTAAAATGGTCAGTAAACGAAAAAGTAAAAAAACAAAAACCCATACAAATCATATTTCATGAATTATATAGAATATGCATAAAAACTCAAAATACAATTTTAACAAAAACAGATTCCATACCTATTAAAGGGTGCACTTGCTTAGTGAGCTTTCCTTTTGCACACCAAAGGAGACCGTCAGACCTAAACCACCAGTAAACCTCCTCTAGAGAAACAGCAGCCCAGCCTGATAGTCAGCCTTGGTGGCCAACACCGCTTTTGACACAGGGAAGACGACCAGTGATGGGCAAATGGTCAGATTCCCGGCAGTGGTAGAACTGCAACGTCCATGGTGTTTTCCCATTCTAAAGGCTGGCAAAGCATCATAGCAGCTGTAGTTTGGCAACATCTGGTATCTACCATTTGCAAACCTTTTCTTACTCCTTCAAAGTTAACATTTTAGTTTATTAAATAAAAAAGTCCTATGGCGTGATATTGAATAAAAATCAAGTCTAAGCTTCACACCATGAGATAGGCAGCACAATCCTATAAATCCCATCATTCTCATCCACCAATCATGTCAATCCTCCAGTCCAGCATTACATAAATTAGCTACAGTGATTGCAGATAAACCAATTCATTTAAAAAAGCTGTAACGTTAGGAGACTTACACTGTAGTATCAAAATAAAAAGAGCAATATGTGGAGGGAGTGTATCCAATCAAAGTACATACAACACCAACAGGTCCCCACAAAAACTTATTTCTGAAGAGGGGCTAAACGACTGCTCACCTTCCAGACTCCCTCTCCCTTGTACGCCAGTCCCAAAGTGCCAACAAAGGGACTGATCAGCTGCAACCAATGACTTTACTATGATAAACCAGTTAATAAAACTTAATTTTAAATCCAAATCCCTGTTATGGGAAGGTGACAGGACAAAAAATAAATAAATCGTCATTAAAAATAAATAATGAATCGTGTGCATTTCAAGTGAGATAAACGCACTTAAGCATATGATTATACGCTTTCTGATATATACTCCTATGGCTGAATGCATCCATCTGATTCTTGTATTGTTTTGCTATAACCCTTTGTCAGGGATTAGGATTCTAAGGTTCAGAAATAAGAGCTACATTTTATGTGTTGGTATGCTGTAGGGATATTGTCAAGTAGTTTGGCCCTCTGGAGTGCCAGAGTTTGGGATGATGTGTATCAACACTGTTACAGCACCTTTAAGACAACATCTTTTATTTATAAACAGCAATTTCAATGGGAATATAGTTTAATGCAAAATTTCATTTCTTTTTTTCTCAAAGAGAAATATTATGGAAGAAACCCCATAATATACAAGAGATAAAATAACATTTTTACATAAAGGTCATTTCCTCCACACCAAACATGGTGACCTGGAATGGAAGGGGTGGCTGCATTATGTGTGAAGTGCCCCACAATTCCCGGCACCAGTGTTAATGCCAAGAGCAGTGGGGTCTCTCTCCCTGCAGTCCAATCAGGTTGTCCTCAATGTTGCATAAATTAAGAAATAACTTTTCTCCTATATCCTCCATAGTTGATCAGCTAGCACAATCTACATGTGAAAGTATAATTCTATTTATTGACCAAAAAAAAAAAAAAAGAGCAAATGCTTTTATACGGTTATTTTTATTCAGAGGGACACTGTAGGCACCCAGACCACTTCTGCCCATTGGAGTGGTCTAGGTGCTTTGCTCCTCTCTCCTTAGCCCTGTTAGTCAAAACAATGCGGTTTTTGGAGAAACAAACTAATCCAAGCTCTATTGGCCGTCTCTCAGACAGCCGCTAGATGGTGCTTCTGTGTTCTTAGAGCATGAAAAAAGTGTTTTAAATGACGTTCGACATCCCCACACTCTGCATAAAGAGGTTGAGCGTCGCCAGAAGGTCTAATGCACGTGCACGGCCATTAGGTCTCCACAGCCAGCAGCCAGAAATGGGGGAGGAGCATGGGATGAGCTGAGCTTGCACCGAGGGACATCGGCGCTGGACCCAGGTAAGTGACTGAAGGTGTTATTAACCAACAAACATGTATTCCTGACACTATAGTGTTAAACCCACCATTTAGGTGCCCTGCCCCCGCCCCCCTTACAAGGAATAATAAAAAAAAAAAAAAACTCCCCTTATTTCCAGTGCCGTGCAGGTCCACTGGCACTGCCCCCTTGCGGACATGATCAGAATTGCAGATTTTTAGCCAATCCAATGCTTTTACATGAGGAAAGCATTGCATAAAACTGGGCAATCAGCACCTCCTCATAGAGATACATTGAGTCAATGCATCTCTATGAGAAAAATTCAGCATCCTCATGCAGAGTGTGGGGACGCTGAACGTCAGTGCTGCCTACTGTGCAGC